TCTCTTTTTTTTTCCCTTTGTTCCTTTCTTTTCTTTTTCCAACACAATTAAAATTGAACTTATCTTTATCGAAAAGAATACCCCCACAAAAGACATCAAACGCGTGTGTGGCACTCTTAAATTAGAGAAACATCCAAACATTGGTTTCCACTAAAATCGATGAACACAATATTTTACGTCGTTATTAGATTTGTATTAATTAAAAGTCCACGAAACTTTCTACAAACACTCGTAAGTCGTCACGTGGCATCCTAGAAATGTTCCTAAGTTGCCACATGCCACTCTAACAAATAACCGTTGATTTTCATTATATTTGATGGACCCATTATTTACAACCACTAGATTTATCTTAAAGAAAAAGTTAACAACCCAAACCTAACCCCACCCAGCCCTGTAGATCGTACGTACGTACTTATATCTCATATACAACCACCTATTATATATGAAAATAATAATAATATACCTCTTATTATTATTATTATTATTATTATTATTATTATTATTATTATTATTATTATTATTATTATTATTATTATTATTATTATTATTAGTACTACTACTACTATTACTATTATTACTATTATTACTATTACTATTATTATTATTATTATTATTATTATTATTATTATTATAATATACCTCAGATACATTAGATTTATCTTTAGTAACAAACTTAAGATCAATCTGGCGGTACGAGTCCACCCACGCACGTACATGTTTCCATCCATACGCATGATAAGAGTCTGTGTGATTTTTTCCTCGCTCGCCACCCATTTTTTTCCAAGGTAATTAAGTTAATTTCATCGCACTTTCAAAGACTGCATGCACTTGCAAATATAGACATAGATAATATACCTCATACATATTGATCTTGGTATGTTTTTATAAATAAATAAAGAATCTTCAATAGCTGTAAATTTTAAATTATATATTCAATTTATGATCTGTTTGAACCATTGTATTTTTTAATTAAATCAATAGTTTAATATCTATACCAACTATATTTAATTGCTTATAAAATTATTATATTTTGGACCCACATCCATACCAAAAAAAAATCCTAAAAGTTATCATTAAAAATCAAAATATCCACCTTATTTTTTTAATAAAATCAAAATAACCTATAAACCATTAACCTTAACTTTAATTATAGCATCAATGGACCTATTGACTCATAACCAACTTAATTATATCTCTCAACGTTTATGTGGATGCTATTTACTTAATCCCAATGCCTTGATAAAAGATATGATCTTTTTTTAAGGATAAATGAACGATCTTATGCTGTGTTCGGCGCTGAAGGTTGGGAAACCTTAATCCCTTGGAAGTTGGACATTAACTTATAGCCCAAAATACCTATATCACGTTGCTCAAATCCAACTAATACACCAAGAAAAGAAGAAGGAGAGATGGTGTCTACAGAGCTGTCCTTATGGATATTTTACTAATAAAAATTGATTTTAGATACTTATTATCCTTATTAAATTATCTAATCACTAGAACAAAGGAACATAATGTCCATGGAGTGAACAAATTGGAGGGCTGGCTGGTGCATCCCGGTGTGCATGCATGGGTATATAATATTTTTTCTCAGATGAAAAAAGGGGCATGAGATAGTTACATGTATTATGCATATACATGCAGGGCACTTTTTTTTCTTCTAAGTATGGTGATGCGAGCATGTTGCCGGAGGCACGAATTAACATGTCCACCGTCCGTGGTGAGGAAAGACGAATAATTTGGTTAGTTTGACTCTGCACAATATGTTAGATCATCTACATATCCAATGGTTAGAAATAATGGTCTAAAATTGAGGGTCATATATTTTGTTTAATAAATTAATTATCAATTTTTCAATATAAATCAGTAGAGCCATTAATTATATATTGTTGTGTATGTAATGTCTTTTATAACTTAAGTTTTCTCTCTTTTCCTATGAAACTCATAATTTCCTATGAAGAATTATCCATAGCTATGACCAATCGATGTTTGCCATCAAATAATAAATTAATTATCATTTTTTATAAAAAATGGGTAGAGCCATTAATTATATATGGTTGTATATGTAATGTCTTTTATAACTTATGTTTTCTCTCTTTCCCTATGGAACCTCAAGAGTCATATGTCTTAGGTACCATTTTTTATACCGTAAGTTATCAACCCTAATCTCTAATAGGTAATTTTATAATTCGTCATGCAATTCTAATGAAGAAAATTCATGAAAAAAAACACAATTTTGAAACGTTGCAGATATTATTTCGCTGCTATACCACCTTTATAGGTTTTTCAAATCTACCTTCCTAGTTTGTATAAAAGGCCATCTCTAGAAGCACTCATTTAGGGACAATTTTAGATGGGCACTGACGCACTGAAGTAGAGACAAGCATCATAACTAACCTACTCTGTTATTCTTATATTCTTGTTCTTATTCTTATGATATATTGGTAACTTTAAACTCTCTCTATCCTATAGGACATGATTCTCTACAGCAATGGATCATAATTTGGTACTGTGAACTTGAAATTATTTAGTATCACATTTTAACCTCAAAACAATGCAATATATTATGCTGAGTTTCAGGATATATTATGATGGTGAAAATCCATTTTGGCCAAGTGCATTTCTCAAACATACAGATAGATCTCTTTGATGATCAAAACGAACCAAACTCGATATGCAACTATTTTGTATGAAATCGTTGAAAGAGCATGTCACTGGAAACGACTACAGTTGTGGAATTGTGGTCACCAAGTTGATGCATGTTTATTTGGGAGGGTGTTTTGAGTAGCTACAACTACCCTAAAATAACAATCTGAATCCTCTCTTTAGATTGTGAAACCCGATAGTTCTAGGATCCAGTAATGAGCTAATAGCTAGAGGCTAGGGAACCTAGAGCTTCAACATATTACCACTAGTTGGATGCTTGTTTATAGCGGCTTCTTGTAATCTCCAGCTCCCTAACATAGCCTAGCAAAGTCAATGATAAACGTAAAAAGGCCATGATTGTTTGAGAAATGAAAAGTCAAAGTGTTTGTCCAGATGAAAAAAAATCCTGGCCGCCAGAATTTTTCGAGTAATATTAAGGCTGAGTTCTTTCCCCAACTTTCCCAACTCACATCCCTCGTGCTCCACGCACACACTTTTTAAACTGATAAAGGGTATTTTTTTGCAAAAAAAAAATCTAAAAAGTTGCTTTAAAAAATAATATTAATCCCCTTTTCAAGTTTTTTACCTAATACTTAATTAATCATGCATTAAACAGATGCTTTGTTTTATGTGTTCCCAACCCATGCTAACGAACGCAGCCTATGAGGAGAACATAATGTATGCAGCATGTCCAAACATGATAACAATGTAAACAATAGAAAGGTAGGGAAAACATGTGAAATGCCTTTAATGCGTCATATTTTATATGAAATTTGCATCAGTTTACAATACTTCAGTTTCTAAAAGAAAATGAAAATCCAATAGGTGGAATGCATATTTCTTTTCTTTGTTACAAAGACAACATAACTAAAAGCAACATAAATGAAAGAAAAAAAGACTATTTAAAACACAAGGAACAGATGACAACCATTTTATAAAAAAAACATTTAGACTTTTGCAAAACTAGTATTCAAAACTGATGAAGATGCAAATTAAGTTAGCACACGTAAAATGAGAAAGATATTGACACATGAATAATTAAATTTTAATTATTACAAACTTGATAAATTGATATATTTGATATTTTAAAGTAATTTCTATATAGAAAGTTTTTACACAAAATACACCATTTAGTAGTTTCAAAAACGTGCTAACGAAACTAAGATAAAATCTGAATCTTTATCAGAAAAGAACAGCGCAAACCATGTAGACTTCGAAAGGTACACCATGGAACAACAATACTCTCTAAAATATTAATATACCTTCTTCGAGCAATAGAGGAATACTACGAAAATGCTCTCTATCGGTCGACCGGGGAGAGGTGGGAAAATCAGTCGCTCCCCCTCCCCCCACGCGCGCACCATGCTGGACCCACCTACTTGTCCCTCCCCTTGTTCCATAAAAGATGTTTCACCTAGTGTACTTATAATGTTTCACTATGTATAGATCAAATGTTGCAGTGAACTGAAACATTCTTTCGCTATTTGCTGAAATATTGTTTTTATATAAGGTGAAACAACACCCGATTAAACAAGTGAAACATTTTTAATCTACTTAGTGAAACAATTCCGATATACCTGGTGGAACATCGTGCAACATTTTAAAAAAATTCAATAGTAAGCTAAAAAAATTTTCGTCGGAATATATTCATGTGTGGTCTTGTTTTAAAGATTTAGTTGCAACGAATTTTAATGGTGCAATCGGATTATGATTTGGATAAGTAATTTAAGAGAAAAATCAGTTTAAAATAGTTTTGCATGTAAATCGGGCGCTGATGTCGTGCTGCCATCAGCGCTCGATTTTTCTCTAAACCGATCGGGCGTCCGACCCATGGACTCATCCGGAATACTTTGATATAATAACGTGATTTTGAGGGATTTTCGTAGGTATTGAACTAACTCTTACAAAATTCCTGATTTCTTTCCCTATAAAATGAGCCAAATTCTCCAAATGCGATAAGTATTTTTTTAATTGGAATCCTATATGCGTTACTTCCCTCCAAGGAGCACAAACTCCACCAGCAGCCAGCCTGACCAGATTTTCTCCAGCTAGGAGTAGAAAAGAATGAAAGATACAGCTACAATAGACTAGTACTACTACCACCAGTATACATCCCCCATTCTCGTTGGTAGTAAAACACATGTGGTCATTAAAAGAAGCTAGGGAGAAACAGCAGGTGAGGTGAGCCATAAGAAAAAAAAAACTAATAAAAAAAGATGGCGTCGTGTGACACCCAAAATCCACACACACAAAACCCTTTCACACAAATAAAAATAAAATAAAACAAAATAATAGAAAAAAAGAATAAACTATAGATAGATAAGTATAGAGGAGGAGTAAATAAATACTTTTCTCCACTACCTCCCTTCCCTTTGGCCTTTCGGGACCTCAACAGAGACGCACCTCGGTCTCTCTCCTCCTCCACCCAAAGCTCCCACCTTTCCCTTCCTCCTCCCTCCTGCGCTCGCCTCCTCGCCCAATTCCGTCCCCAATTCGGCGCTCTCCCGCGGCGCGATCCGTCGAATCTGCCCGGATTCGGTGTCGATTCCACGCGGCCGCCGGGGGAGCCCCCCTCCCGCCGATTTGTTTCGGAGCTTTTCTTCTTCTTCGGATTCTTCCTTCCCCAATCCTTTGGTTCTTGTTCTTTGGTCTCTCCTTCGAAATTCGATCCCTCGCCGGCAGCTTAGCCGGCGCGGCGCGGCGCGGCGGCGATCCATCTCCCGCGGTTTCGATTTGGGTTTATTTGGGCGGTGGGGAGAAATCCGTGGTTCGGTGCGTTTGGTATGAGCTGAAAAGGTCGTCCTTTTTTTTTTTGGGTTTTTTCCCCCTGATCTGCGCGTGTTCTCTTCTCCTGGCTCGATTGCGTGTTGTAGATTTTGTGTTTTTGTTCTTGCGTTTAAATCAGGGGGGAAAATTCCTACTCTGTAAACATTTCAGCCCGATTTTCTGTTCATTTCCACGTTTGATTTGGTGCAGGAAAAGCTAGAATTTTTACCCTTCTTTTTTCCGAATAATATTTCTCTGATTTCTACCTGCGTAGATCTCGTTTTCCTCTTTGGTTTTGGGTCTAAGGCCTGCACCGATTCGATCAAGGAATAAAAAAAAAGCCATTGATTTCCCATTTCCGAACCTTTTATTTACCTCAACAAACTCCATTTCTTGCTGTTCCTACGCCCAATTCGTCCTGATCTGGTTGTCCAAGCTTGGGATTCGCCTCCACTTCCCTTGATTTGTTCGTCCGCGTTAAATCCGATGGCGCAGGAGAGCTGTGATCTCAACAAGGACGAGGCTGAGATCTTGAAGCCATCATCATCATCCTCACCTTCTCCTTCCCCAACCACAGCCTCCCCATCGCCACCAACAGCACAAATGACAGAACCACCGCCTCCGCAATCGACACCACCAACACCACCGGCAGCAGCAGCAGCGGCATCGGCAGCAGCAGCTCCTCAATTCTCAGCCAAGAACTGCGAAGGTATTCTCATAGAGGTTTCCAAGAAGAGGAAACTAGCCGAAGCCACCGCCACCGATGCTAATGCCGTGGTCGTGGCGGCGGTAGCCGAGCCATTATCTCCGGTGCTGTTTGTTAACCGGTGCAACGTGTGCCGCAAGAGGGTCGGTTTGACCGGATTCCGGTGCCGCTGCGGGGAGCTCTTCTGTCCTCGCCACCGGCATTCCGAGACCCATGAGTGCTCCTTCGATTATAAAACCGCGGGCAGGGAGGAGATTGCCCGCGCGAATCCTGTGATCAGGGCTGCCAAGATCATTAAGATCTGAGGTATAAACACTTCTGTGGTGGAGTCATATTAAGATCTGAGGTATAAACCCATGATCATACATCATTATTTGTAATTTTTTGTTATGATTCCCTGCTTGCTTAGTTCCTATAAGATGTAAAATGCCATACACTCAAGGTAGCATTTTGTTTGGCAGATAAGAATTGTCATTTTAACAGTTATACATCGTGATGTGATGCTTGTTTCCAATGTATAGTATTTCTAAATGATATATTTCTTTAAGTTGCAAATTGATTTACTTATTTGCATTCCAAACTGTGAGATTATTTGACTCAGCTGGATTAACTTCTGAGATTATTTTCTTGTTGCTGGTTCCTGTCTCATCATTTGCACAATGCTGCATTTCATTTTTCCTAGTTCCTAGGTTGTTCTTGGCATTTGCACATCCTTGTTTCATGTATATATATTTTTTCCATTTCTCCATAGTTTCTGTAGATGTTATACATTAATTGACCTCAACTATTTCCATTCATTGAAACCTTGTAGGTTGTATGATCTATGAACTATATGGAAGACTAATCCTGGAGATGCTGCAAGTGAATCATGCTGTAACTACATGAGCTATTCAAGAGCATGATATCTGCATGTTTGTGAAGTAATTCCCATACAGCCGAGGCCATAGTAGGATAGCAGTCTACATCAAGCGAAAAATCTATGGGTCGGCTGATGTGGGAGAAAGCTTCACTCTTGTTCATCGTCCGCCTTCGATGCACACCATAGCTCCTTCTCAAGCTACCACGCACACGGATGATAGCAAGTGTACTGTCCAGTCATAATTTTATTGGATCCAACAATTTATTGTAGTATATTGTAATCTTTCTTTTTTAAGTCTTGTTCGGTTTCGTTCAACACAATTGTGTGTTACTGAAAACATGTGTGATGTTTGGAATTTCAGTTCAAGGTGGAGATAATCACCTCCTACCCTGTTGCTATTGCGATCTGTCTGGCTGACCGATAATTAGTCTGTCATGCCACAAATTACATGATGTTCCTATCAACGATTGAGAAACCTCTAGTTTGCTCATGCTGCAATTTATAAATGCCAACCTTATGGTCATTTTTTTAAAAAAAGAAAATTTATAGGAAATGAACACTTCACCTATGTAAGGTTCATATGTGTGGCAATTTGGTTATGCAGCCCTCTAAAGTTATGGCCGTTAAAGAAACAGTTTGCTCTTCTATGCTTTCAGTCTTCAAGTATGAAGAAATAAAATGAGAAAAATCATAATAATATGCTTGTTTATCACCTGATACATCAAATCTTCGGTACCCAGTTACATGGCAGAGAATTTCCCCAATACAACATTTTGCACTCAAATACTCTGACTAACTGGAGCTTCCTTTAGAAGCATCAAAGAAAAGATAAAAGAATACATCGCAAAATTACATTACAGCAAATTGCATGAATATGCTGACCTACCACACATGTTTATTCCAATACTATGATTCTATAATCCTATTTCCTAGTCATTCCCGAGATAATTCTCAGCTCAGCTCCTCGTTGCTGAGGGCATGATATGGGCCATTTCCTAAAAGACAAACATAATTATCCGCGTTAACAAAATCTCTCCTTGTTGGATTTTTTTCTGTTTCCTCTATATTCTGTAGTCCATAGTTACTTTCATGTTTGAGCATGTGGCTCGTTAGGTCTAATAGTGGGAGAAGTTTTTTTGGAATTGTGACGGGTTCAAGGACCCGAAAAAAACATAAGTTTGTTTCTGATTTAACCAAAGAACATCAACTTGATTTTATTGTTTTATCTGAGACGGTTAAGAAGGAATTTTCTACATCTGCTCTGAATAATCTTTGTGTTAGTAAAGATTTTTTGTGGCACTGTAAATCTCCTAGAGGCAGATCTGGTGGTCTTCTTTTAGGAATTAATCTTCTAAATTTTGACATTGGTTTGATTGATGAGGGGGATTTTTATATCAAATTTCATTTACGAAATAAGGCTGATAATTTTAAATGGGCTTTAGTTTTGGTGTATGGGCCTGCACAGAATGAGCTTAAAGATCAATTCCTTGAAGAATTAGTTAACATGTGCAGTCATGAGACTATACCAATTCTTATTGGTGGTGATTTTAATATTCTTCGTAGTCCTAATGATAAGAGTAATAACAATTATGATGATAGATGGCCCTTTTTGTTTAATGCTGTTATTGATGGGTTGTGCCTTAGGGAGATACAGTTGTCTGGTAGGAACTTTACTTGGGCAAATAATCTAGCAAACCCAACCTATGAGAAATTGGATAGAGTGTTAGTATCAACGGAATGGGAGCAAAAGTATCCTTTATCTTCTGTTGTTGCTCTAAACAGAGATTTATCAGATCACGTTCCTTTGCTTCTAAATACAAAATCTTCCTCTTTTAGTGACGCTCAACATTGTTTTCAGTTTGAACTTGGTTGGCTGTTACGTGATGGTTTTGTGGATATGGTAAAGGAGGTTTGGTCTGGGTTGATGAAGGCAATACTCCTATGGAGCGTTGGCAGGCAAAAATTCGCCGCTTAAGACAACATCTTAGGGGCTGGGCTAAACACACTAGTGGTTTATGCAAAAAAGAGAAAAAGCAGATCTTAAATAAGTTGGATGCGCTAGATAAAAAGGCTGAGACTGTTGTTTTGTCTCAAGAGGAGGTTGATCTTAGATGGTTTTTAAGGAATAGGTTATCTGCGATCTTAAGGGAAGAAGAAATTAAATGGTATCAGCGGGCTAAGACTAAGGATATTATGGACGGTGACTCTAATACAAAGTATTTTCATTTAATGGCAAATGGAAAACACAGGAAAACTAGAATTTATCAATTACAGGATGGTGATCAATTAATAAGAGGTGATGCCAATTTAAAGTCGCATATTACCACTTATTATAAAGGTCTTTTTGGCCCTCCTAATGAATCTGATCTTCAGTTTGATGATAATTATATTGCTGGCATTCCTCAAGTTTCACATTTGGAGAATGAAGCTTTAACTAAGGAATTTTCTGAAAATGAGATTAAGGAGGCTATTTTCCAAATGGAACATAACAAAACTCCAGGTCCAGATGGATTTCCTGCTGAGTTTTACCAAGTGTTCTGGAATGTAATTAAATTTGACTTTTTACAACTTTTTAAGGATTTTCATTCTGGGAGTTTGCCTTTATATTCACTTAACTTTGGTACTATTATTCTTTTGCCTAAGTGTGCTGAGGCCATGAAGATTCAACAGTATAGACCTATATGCCTACTTAATGTCAGCTTTAAGATTTTTACCAAAGTTGCTACAAATAGATTAATGGATTTTGCTCAAAAGGTAATTAGTCCTACTCAAACAGCGTTCATTCCTGGGAGGAATATTATGGAAGGAGTGGTTATTTTACATGAGACTTTGCATGAATTACATCGCAAAGATAAAAGTGGTGTAATTTTTAAGATCGATTTTGAGAAAGCTTATGACAAAGTTAAATGGTCTTTTCTACAACAAACTTTGAGAATGAAAGGCTTTTCTCCTAGATGGTGTGAGTGGATAGCATCTTTTGTTCAAGGTGGGCATGTTGGTATAAAAGTTAATGATCAAATTGGTAATTGTTTTCAAACTTTCAAAGGTCTTAGGAAAGGGGACCCTTTATCTCCTATTCTTTTTAATATAGTAGCTGACATGCTCACTTTATTGATTAAGAGGGCTAAAGAGGCTGGTCTTTTGAATGGGGTAATTCCGCATCTTGTTGATGATGGTTTGTCCATTTTGCAATACGCAGACGATACAATCATCTTTTTGGAGCACGACTTACAACAGGCAAAGAATTTGAAACTGATTTTATCGGTCTTTGAAAAGCTATCTGGCCTAAAAATAAATTTTCACAAGAGTGAATTATTTTGTTTTGGTCAGGCTAAGGAGTGTTATGAGCAATATTCGGACATTTTTGGTTGTAAGTTAGGTGCTTTCCCTTTTAAATACCTTGGAATTCCGATGCATTTTAGAAAGCTTTCTAATAAAGATTGGAAACTTATTGAAGAGAGAATAGAGAAAAAGCTTAGTAGTTGGAAAGGCAAGCATTTATCGGTTGGGGGTAGATTGGTGTTGATTAATTCAGTTCTTTCAAGTTTAGCCATGTTTATGATATCTTTTTTGAGGTGCCGAAAGGGGTTCTTCATAAAATTGATTTTTATAGATCGCGATTCTTTTGGCAAGGAGATGATCATAAGAAAAAATACAGGCTCACTAGGTGGGATGTTGTCTGTCAACCCAAGGACCAGGGGGGTCTTGGGATTCATAATCTGGAGGTACAAAATAAATGTCTTTTAAGTAAATGGTTGTTTAAGTTAATTAATGAGGAAGGGATTTGGCATGACTTATTGAAGAGGAAATATCTTTATAATAAGTCTATAACCCAAGTTGACAAGAAACAAGGTGATTCCCATTTTTGGTCTGGTCTTATGAATGTCAAAAGTACCTTCTTAAATATGGGTTCTTGGATTGTCAATAATGGGGAACAAATTAGATTTTGGGAGGACAAGTGGCTAGGTAACTGGGCTTTTAAGGACAAGTATCCATCTTTGTACGCAATTGTTCGTAGGAAAACATCTTCTATTGCTACTGTAATGGGTTCTGTTCCACTTAATGTTTCTTTCAGAAGAGCTTTAGTTGGTCAGAATCTTGATTGTTGGCATGAGTTATGTTCCTCTATAGTACATATTCAATTGAATGATTCGTCTGATACTTTTAGATGGAATTTCCATCAGAATGGGTTGTTCTCGGTGAGGTCTATGTACCTAGCTTTAATTAATAATGGTTATATTGACAGGAATAAGTGCATTTGGAAGCTTAAGATGCCACTTAAGATTAAAATTTTTATGTGGTACTTGCTTAAAGGGGTTGTGTTAACTAAGGATAACTTGGCAAGGCGTAATTGGAATGGTAGCTTGAGGTGTTCGTTTTGTTTGAAGAATGAGTCTATTCAACATCTCTTTTTCGATTGTCATTTGGCGAAGTTTCTGTGGAGAGCAGTTCAGTTTTCTTTTGGATTTAATCTTCCAGTTAGCGTATCTCATATTTTTGATGGGTGGCTTTTGGGAGTTGATAAGAAAATGAGTAAACTGATACTTGTTGGAGCTTCTGCCATTTATTGGGCAATATGGCTGAGTAGGAACAATATAGTTTTTGACAAATCACCATCATTTTCCTATATGCAGGTCATTTTCAGAGCAACCCATTGGCTTCGGTTTTGGGCACAACTATAAAGGTGTGAAGATGATGAAGAGTTTCTGAAAGTTGCATGTCGGAAGCTGGAGACTACGGTTATGCAACTTTTTGCCAATTATGGGTGGAGATTTACAAATAGACTTGAATAATTGTAATCTCCTTTGTTAGACTGGATTCTTTATTGTTGCTTGCGGTGTGTTCTATTCAATTAGATCTACACTATGTTCGTCAAACGCTTCTATGTAATAATTGGCTGTAGCTCTTTTAAGTAAAGGCCGGGATATTTATTTATTCCATTATCTAAAAAAAGATGATGCTGCACCCTGGCATTTTGGATGAACAGCAGCCTCCTCCTCATCAGGTAGCTTTCCCTCAACATCAGTGGCCTCAGCAACTTGCCCACTTCTGCCATCGTCGCTGTTCGAATCGCTGCATCGACATGTCAGCATTAGTGAACAGAAAGAACAGCTGTGATGGTCTAATTTAGAAGATGGATTTTTTTAGATAGTGGAATTTATTCCTGCCTTTATTTTTCAGTCGCTCATTATAAAGTTTGCAGGACGAATAACCGCTAATTACAAAATTACAGCTTGATTAAAAACATGTAATTAATGTTCCAATGATTAACGTCAAACTTCAGAATGGTGTCTTGCAACTAATAAAGCTAGAGTATTGAGTTTTTTCATGGAGAAGGATAACAGAAAGTAAAACAGGTGAGTACCCTGAGTAAATAACCAGCCCAATTGCAACTACACCGAATGCCACATAGTACATCCAGTCGACCTGGAAAGCGAAAGTGCATTCAATTGCTGGTTACATGTAAGACAATAAACTGCAGTATGCTTTATGCAGAATTGCAGATTGAGGGCCCGATGATCAGACCTTTTCATGGTAGGCAAACACACGGATGAGAATAGCCCACATGTCTGAGGCTAGCAATGAAAGGTTTAGCATTGTTGAACCACTGATCTGCACAAGTTAATATAGATATGAGAAACTTAAAGAGCAAAAACCATGTGCTTAATGTGGCAGTGCCATTTCGTAGTACAACAATATCCCTTTTGTCGGTTTTCTTTTTTTTTTCCATTTTTAAGGAGATGGACAAGGAACAGTAGGTAAACTTGGGATGTAAGAACTGAGAAATCATGACTAAGGAAATTAGTAGATACACACTTGCACAAAGGAAACATTGTTTGCTAATATACCTTCAGTAAAATTGGAACTAGAGAGTAAAACATGAACATTGCGACTGCAAACCCAATAAATGGTACCACCTGACAAGTGGTAAGAAAGTAATATTAGATGTGTTTGGTGTAAAAAAAACGGATACCAATGTCACAATGAGGGGATTTTTAGAAGGAAAATAAAAGAGGAGGACAGAGGAGGACTTACAGCACCAACACTCCATTGTATAGATTTTTTCTCGTTGTGTTCAAATATGCTTCTGAATAAGCAAATAAAGAAAAAAAACAGCTTATGAACTGTTTGAATGAATAAGAACATGTTGCAGGAGGTAAAAAGGCCACAATACGATTTTAACAAAATAGCAAAAAACTCTTCTGTAAACAAGAGAAGTCTACTAAACTGCCTAAAGCACTTTGGTCCGTCTGTTAATCCCCTTAAGTACGGGTATTCACCCTCAAAGGTATGAAAGTTGTTTGAAATAACCACTTGGAATGGTTTTGTAGTGATTTTGCTGTGTACAAGATGACACGGCAAGCACAATAGGGCAAAATTACCCAACCCAACCCAACCCAACCACTCCTTTTCTCTCTCCAATCAGCAGGCCCAAGAATCACTTTATAAGCACTAATGTGCTTCTTTTCCAACCGTCCCAATAATTAAAATGTTATTTAACCGAATACATCGGCATGTCACAGTGTCCATGTAAGCCAACCATTTATAAAACCACTATTTGCACTTATTTGAACTGGTTTTCATATTTTAGAGGGTAGAATACCTAGTTTCATACTTGAGGGGTTGCAGGACAACCATAACATTTTAGGGGGTTAACTTTGATTTTTTCCTTAAACATTCTAGAGTAAATTTCACATTGGGCTAGGTTTTTTTTACCCAAGTTTTACATTGGACCAGGTCCCACTCAAGTTTTTCACTTAACACCACATGTTTTTACATTTGATTGCACTTTGGACTAGGATTGGCGATTTGGGGTGCTTTGCTGGCTTTGGCCCATTCATGCAAGCAAGCAATACTTTGATTCTCTTCTCCAACACCGGAGGTCTTGCCCAGTCGGAGTTGCCGCAAGCAAAAATGGAGTTTCTGCAAGATTCAGGGTCCTGCCGTGCGGGTGCAAAGCTTGGGAGGTGTTCTTCGTGCATCATGACCAAGAGCGAGTGCGTGCAGGGAGAAAAGAACAGCTCCGGCCAGACCAGCCTCCGAGAGCAAGGTCATTGAGGTGGTGAGAGAAAATTGATCTCCCATTGACGGGGATGTGATAGAAATAGCAAGGTTGTGTAGAGATCAGCGGCGACGGCTGAGTCGCAGACGGTAGCTCGTGCCTCCTTCCTCATGGATGGGCTGGCCCAAATAATAGACCCCACCCAAAGTGAAATCAAGTGTAGAAATATGTGGTGTTAAGTGAAAAGGAAAAAGTATAAATTACCCCCCCTCCCCGGGGAACTATCGCGGTCGTCTGAATTATCTCCCTGAACCACAAAACCGGACATTTTTCACCTGAACTATACAAACCGAACGAATTACCCCCCTCGACCCAATCCGCGGTGGTTTTGGTCTACGTGGCGTACGCGTGGCAGTCCAGTCAGCATTCTATATTTAAAAAATATGGGGCCTACATGTCATACGCTCTTCTCTCTCACTCTCCTCACTCTTCTCACTCTTCTTCTCTCTCTCACGGTCGAGCACTCGGGCAGGCGGGGCAGCGGCTGAGGGCGGCGGCCTCGGCGCGGAGGCGGCGGCGGCGAGCGGCGGCGCGCGCGGCTGGCGGCGAGCGGCAGTGCGCGGGGGCGAACGGTCGGTGGGCGGCGGTGGCGGAGGTGGGGATGATGGAGACGGCGGCGCCCCCGTCTCTCTCTTCCCCTCTCTCTCTCATGGGCGGCGGCGCGAGCGGTAGCGGCGGGCGCGACTGGTGGAGGGCGACGGCGGACGGCTGGACGGCGCGCGGGGGCGGGCGGACGGCGCCTCCCAATCCACCTCTATCGTCACCGCCCCTTCTCCTCCTCGCCGGAGAAGCTCGCCTCGGATCCCTCCTCCTCCTCGTCATCGTTGTCGGTGCTCGGCCCCCGCACACCGCCGCTCGCCGCCAGCCGCGCCGGCCACCGCTCGCCGCCGCCGCCTCCGCGCCGAGGCCACTGCCCTCAGCCGCTGCCCCCGCCCTTCCCGACCATGAGAGAGAGAGGAAGAGTGAGAAGAGTGAGGAGAGTGAGAGAGAGAAGAGAGAGAAGAGCGTATGACATGTAGGCCCCACAATTTTTTATATATATAGAATGCTGACTGGACTGCCACATGTACGTCACGTAGACCAAAACCACCGCAGATTGGGTCGAGGGGAGTAATTCGTCCGGTTTGTATAGTTCGGGATGAAAAATGTCCGGTTTTGTGGTTCAGGGGGTAATTCATACGACCGCGATAGTTCGAGGGGTAATTCGTACTTTTTACTAAGTGAAAACTTTAAGTTAGATATGGTCCAATGTGAAACTTAGGTAAGAAAAAGTAGTCCAATGTGGAATTTACTCAAAATTCTATTATAATAAGAGAAACAAAAATGGTTAAACACGGTTAAAACAAAGGAGCATTTTACATCTGACAAGCATTCTAGATGGATTTTTTTAGATAGTGGAATTTATTCCTGACAATGTGGTGCCTTTATTTGTTCCTCGTAGCGGTCGGACAAGCCATCGGAGGAAGCCGAAGAGGACCGGGACGGGAACGGGAACCGCCGGCTGTGGCTGCAGCGACGTTGTTGTTGTCCCCCTGGTCGGACGCCGCGGCGGCGGCGGCGGCGGGGAGAAGCCGCAGCGGCGGCATTGCTTGGTGGCCGCGGAGTGGTCCCCGTCGCCCCTCGGCATGTTGACGCCGGCGCTAGCCATCACCATCACCAATCATGTCATGCGAGCAGCAGCAGAAGCAGCATCCACCATGGGAAGAGAGATGCGTTGGAGGAGGCGAGAGGAAGAAGAAGAGGTGGCCGTGTGGCTAAGGCCCAAACACAAGGGCCCATGAGCATAACCAGTTCCTTCCGTTACATTAAACCCTAGACGCTCCTCCTCTCCTGCCCGCGCGCAGTTCTGCTGCTTGCTGCTCCGGCGCTGGCCCTCTCTTCTCCCTTCTCCGACCTTGCGCCTCCCTCAGGTTCCCCGCTTGTTGATCTGCCTCATCTTCTTCCTATTTGATCGAAAGCCAATTTGCTTATCTGTGAATTTATTTCGCTAGCCTTTTCTGATGCCATCTTTGGCTCTTGGATTTGAAGGCTGAAGATCGATTACATCGCAGGACAGGACGCGCAATCGACTTTGCAGGTACTCTTCCTTCCTTCCTCACAATTGTCTCCTGGATCTTGGTATGTACTACTGCTTAAATCGCCTCTCGACAAACGGATCCCCTCGTTTCCTTCTGCTCTGCAAATAATCCACCCGCTTTTTTTTTAATTATTTCCCTAGCTTTGAAGATATTTTAAGTATGTCTCCGTCGACGATTGATTTCTCGCGGCGGTTTCTTAATCTGATCGTGGGCAACCGCACCCCTGGTGTCAAATCGCTATGGTGCTTCGACCTGATGCGCCAGCAGCTGTTCTATCCGGCAACACCTCCACCGCCACACAAGGTTGAGGAATTCTGGCAAAAGTTTAGACCGCCGGGCACAATGATGGACAGCATGGGGCTTCCCTTCTCCTGCTTCACCTTCCGAGCTTCAGCTCTCAACGTCAACGGCCAATCGAGGATGGACTGTTTCCCGCTTGCTGGCGGCGAGGTGATTTGCATGGATCAGTCTGGCCGCGCGTTCCTCGTCGACGCTGATGCGTGCCAGGTAGGAACCATGCCCAGTCTTCACAAGCCCAAGTCGATGCCCTTGGCCGTCTTCGTCCCCAATGCCAAGGCTGACAATGACTATGACCATGATGGCTATGGCAGCAGCCTCTTTGTCATGGAGAGGATTCCCAAACCGGAGTTGGGCTTCAACAGCGATCAGTTTGAGGCCTTCATATACCGCAAGCCTACAATATCCAACTACACAAAGGCCTGGCACTGCCATCAACTCCCACCCCCGCCTTTTGTCCGTGAACCCAAGCACTGGCACAGCTGCAGCAACCCAGAGATCAGCTCCTACGCTGTGCTTGGCGGTGGCTCACACATTTGCTTATCTGTCAATGGCATCGGCACCTACTGCCTGGAGACAGCAAGCCACACATGGAGCCAAGTTGGCAAGTGGACACTGCCGTTCCATGGCAGGATTGATTATGTGCCTGAGTTCAACCTCTGGTTTGGCCTCTCTGCTGAGGCCCGTCGCTTGGCTGCGGCTGACCTCTCTGCCATGGACTCCTAGCCACAGCTAGTGGGCCCTTGGAAGGAACTCAACCTGCCAGAGGAATGGAGGGAATGCAAGGATCCTCAACTTGTTAACCTTGGCTCAGGCAGGTTCTGCATCGCTAGGTTCTTCCGCAGCAACAGTGACTTTGGGGATGAACAAATTACCGTGTTTACAGGTGTGGAGGTAGTGCCACACGTCGGCGATGCCAATGGCTATGCAAATAAGGGCAGCAATGGGAAAGTGCAACTCCAAATGATCCCTCACTGATCAAAATGTCACATATCTAATGCTACTACCATCGATGTTGTGTTCTGACTAATATTAGTGCTGGCATCCTTTTTTATTTGTTTATATTTTATCTGAATAAGAGATGACTTAGAATATTGTTGTAAGAGATGGTCTCCCTATGATCTCTATTTACTAGTAGTGCGGTATTGTATCCTGCAATGGTAGATTCTAAAATTAACTGAATTTAGTCCCCTTTCCTAAGCTCAACGAGTGGCCAGGAGGGCTGAGGTAGAAGAACCCGACTGAAGGGGTATATTGGTCAACCCAAGTGAAAAAATGGTGGAAATCCAGTGAATTGGCAAATATGGCAAAGAAAAGGTTTGGTATCGCCTAGGGATGGCCTTTTAACGAATCCAATCCGTGGAATGGCATTTGAGCGAAACCCTCTTTTGGTAGTGGCAGAATGTCCAATTTCTCGTTTCGTTCAACACAATTGTGTGTTACTGAAAACATGTGTGATGTTTGGAATTTCAGTTCAAGGTGTTGATAATCACCTCCTACCCTGTTGCTATTGTGACCTGTCTGGCTGACAGATAATTAATCTGTCATGCCACAAATTACATGATGTTCCTGTCAACGATTGAGAAACCCCTAAGTTGCTGATATGCTGCAATTTATAAATGCCAACCTTATGGTCAATTTTTTTAAAAAAGAAAATTTATAGGAAATGAACACTTCCCCTATGTAAGGTTCGTATGTGTGGCAATTTGGTTATGCAGCCCTCTAAAGTTATGGCTGTTAAAGAAACAGTTTGCTCATCTATGCTTTCAGTCTTCAAGTATGAAAAAATAAAATGAGAAAAATCATAATAATATGCTTGTTTATCACCTGATACATCAAATCTTCGGTACCCAGTTACATGGCAGAGAATTTCCCCAATACAACATTTTGCACTCAAATACTTTCTGGCTAACTGGAACTTCCTTTAGAAGCACCAAAGAGAAGACAAGAATACATTGCAAAATTACATTACAGCAAATTGCATGAATATGCTGACCTACCACACATGTTTATTCCAATACTATGATTCTATAATCCTAATTTCTAGTCATTCCCGAGATAACTCTCAGCTCAGCTCCTCGTTGCTGAGGGCATGATAGGGGCCATTTCCTTCAACACAAACATAATTATCCGCGTTAACAAAATCTCTCCTTGTTCGATTTTCTTTTTTGTTTCCACTATGTTCTGTAGTCCATAGTTACTTTCATGTTTGAGCATGTGGCTCGTTAGGTCTAATAGTGGGAGGAGTTTTACCATCATCGAATTTTCGGATGCCAGATGATGCTGCACCCTGGCATTTTGGATGAACAGCAGCCTCCTCCTCATCAGGTAGCTTTCCCTCAACATCAGTGGCCTCAGCAACTTGCCCCCTTCTGCCATCGTCGCTGTTGGAATCGCTGCATCAACATGTCAGCATTAGTGAACAGAAAGAACAGCTGTGATAGTGTAATTTGGAAGATGGATTTTTTTACATAGTGGAATTTATTCCTGCCTTATTTTTCAGTCGCTCATTATAAAGTTTGCAGGACGAATAACCGCTAATTACAAAATTACAGCTTGATTAAAAACATATAATTAATGTTCCAATGATTAACGTCAAACTTCAGAATGCCTTGTGTCTTGCAACTAATAAAGCTAGAGTATTGAGTTTTTTCATGGAGAAGGACAACAGAAAGTAAAACAGGTGAGTACCCTGAGTAAATAACCAGCCCAATTGCAACTGCACCGAATGCCACATAGTACATCCAGTCGACCTGGAAAGCGAAAGCGCATTCAATTGCTGGTTACATGTAAGACAATAAACTGCAGTATGCTTGATGCAGAATTGCAGATTGAGGGCCCGATGATCAGACCTTTTCATGGTAGGCAAACAAACGGATGAGAATAGCCCACATGTCTGAGGTTAGCAATGAAAGGTTTAGCATTGTTGAACCACTGATCTGCACAAGTTAATATAGATATGAGAAACTTAAAGAGCAAAAACCATGTGCTTAATGTGGCAGTGCCATTTCGTAGTACAACAATATCCCTTTTGTCGGGTTTTCCTTTTTTCCATTTTTAAGGAGATGGGCAAGGAACAGTAAGTGAACTTGGGATGTAAGAACTGAGAAGTCATGAATAAGGAAATTAGTAGGTACACACTTGCACAAAGGAAACATTGTTTGCTGATATACCTTCAGTAAAATTGGAACTAGAGAGTAAAACATGAACATTGCGACTGCAAACCCAATAAACGGTACCACCTGAGAAGTGGCAAGAAAGTAATATTAGGTGTGTTTGGTGTCACAAAAACAGATAAAGCCAATGTCACAATGAGGGGATTTTTAGAAGGAAAATAAAAGAGGGAGGACTTACAGCACCAACACTCCATTGTATAGATTTTATCTCATTGCGTTCAAATATGCTTCTGCATAAGCAAATAAAGAAAAAAAAAGCTCACAAACTTTTTGAATGAATAAAAACACGTTGCGGGAGGTAAAAAGGCTACAGTACAATTTTAACAAACTAGCAACAAACTCTTCTGGAAACAAGAGAATTCTAAAGAACTGCCTAAAGCACATTGGTTCGCCTACTTAATCCCCTTAAGTATGGGTATTCACCCCTCAAAGGTTTTAAAACTGGTTGAAATAACCACTTGGAATGGTTTTGTAGTGATTTTACTGTGTACAAGATGACGTGGCAGGCACAATAGGGCATATTACTCAAGCCAACCCAACCGCTCTTTTTCTCTCTCCAATCAGCAGGCCCAAGAATCACTTATAAGCACTAATGTGCTTCTTTTCCAAACGTCCCAAGAATTAAAAAATATTTAGCTGAATACATCACCATGTCACAGTGTCCACGTAAGCCAACCACTTATAAAACCACTACCGGCAGTTATTTGAACTGGTTTTCATATTTTTGAGGGTAGAATACTTAGTTTCATACTTGAGGGGTTAAGCAGGACAACCACAACATTTTAGGGGGTTAACTTTGATATTTGCTTAAAAATTCTATGATAATAAGCTTATGAAACAAAAAATGTTTAAACATGGTTAAAACAAAGGATCATTTTACATCTGACAAGCACTGATGATAGCTCCAAATAGTCCCAGCATCCCCATCAACTCAACTCGATCACCGACTTTCACAAGGAACTCCTGAAATGCAAAAGATAAATATATTGAGGGATTTGGTCTCTTAGTGAAGCTAGTTTTACACCTTACACCACAAAGCTTGCACTTATTAAGCCCGAAGGATGAGAAACATATGGAAACAGGTGATACGTGAGAGTCATTTTCACCATTTCTTTGGATTAGTCTTTTTTGACAATAAAGAAGTGAAATATGAATAGCTTTTGGCACAGACTATTAACAAAGTTTTTTTAATATGTATTAAAAATAATATCTCAAAATAATGTGTTTCCTGTGCAGTTGAGATCAATGCTTTACCTCACTAACGTTACTGATGGCATAAAGAGTAGCACCAGCAATTACAAGTATATCACCTTTAACTGGGCTTGTACCCCCTGCATAGAACAACATGACCATGAACATTTCAGTTGTACTTCATTTAGGATTTAACTGGTCATAAAGATGACTTCCAAAATTCCACGCAAAACTTAAATTATTCTCCACATATTCGTCAAGCATGACTGGAGTACTGTATTTTTTTAAAAAAAAATCCATTAATCTAGCAACATATTAAACTGTGGAATAGTCTTTACTCCTTACTTCAGAAAACAGACTAGTTATTTTTGCTAATGTGAACTCAAGGTTCATTTTGTTACCATAATTATAAATGGTCTGCAATACAAAAGGTTTTATTGCACTTTTTTGTGGTAAGTGAAGAAGAAATGAAACAACAAAGACATATATAAATACTAATCACCGAACTATTACCTGCCCTATCACCTGCATGGACATCAGAAAATACAACTAGCACAAGTCCTGAGACACAAATCGCCACACCACTATATTTTCTGAATCTGTAGTTGGTCTTCAAAAACATCCATGTAAGGAATATCACAGCAGGAATAGCCCAGCAATCAAGAAGCATAACGCTTGTCAGAGATGTGTACTGGTAAGCCTTGACAACTAGAAAAGAATAGAGGGAGTTAGTATAACATTGTAACACCATCTGTCTATTCAGTAGACAGGAAGGACTGTCTTGTTATTTCAGCATAGATGACCAGGAACTTTTGGTCAACACGCTGCTGAATTATCCAACAAATAACCAACAAAGTATTGCACATACCTAGATAATTTGCCTCTACATCGACCAAGGCTAGTACTAAGTAGTAGTACCATTTCATCTGCAAGAGTTAGTTCATGCATAAATCAGTTCCACAGTAGAATACAAATTGAAATACTACAGCATCAGTAGGAAATTATATAAAGTTATGGATATTACGTTCCACAAAATATATGTAATTGCTTATTTAAAATTTTGAGAACAGTTTATGTACAAATAGATGTATTTTTCAAAAGGAAGCAAACTGTTGTTACAAGTGAATAGAGCAGTAACACTAAGGCACTAGGCACGTGTGCTTTTGAAGTTATAAACGCTAATTTAACTAAATAACAATAACCCCCTCCGTTTTAAAATGTTTTTAAATGCATGATGCTGTTGGCTTTTGAACATTACGTTTAACCAATTTTCTTATTCAAAACTTTAGTACCTTATCTTATCTTATCCTTCTTATATAGTGAAAGCAGCAAGCTTTCTTGCACGAGGATGTGCCACATCATCAGAAATATTTTAGCCGTCGGATAAAGAGTTCGGATAAATAATGGTCATTGGATTGAAAGAGTGCATGTATTAAAAAAAATCACAAATGGGCTAAACATATGGAAATTTACGGAGGTTTTTGGTATCTATTGCCCTAGCTAAGTATAGATACTTTGTAAACAAATTAACTTATATCAAAACCTTATTAAGAGCTAAGGTAAATTAATAGACCATATATAAAAGTTCTTAAACAGGATCAAAAGTCGCGCTTTGGCTAGTAAATATGAAAAAAAATATAAGTAGTATCTTCAATGACAAAACAAGTCACAACAAAATAAATAATATTTACATAGTTTATTTTTTCCAATAAGACGAGTGATCAAACATAAAATCCAAAATCCAACAGCATCATATATTTTAAAACAGAGGTACTGCTGAACCAAAATAAGTAGTATCTAAAATGACAAAACAAGTCACAACAAAATAAATGATATTTACATAGTTTATTTTTTCCAATAAGACGAATGGTCAAACATCATATCCAAATGCCAACAGCATCATATATTTTAAAACAGAGGTACTGCTGAACCAAATGAACTTGAATTCTTGATGCCCAAACATAGATATGCCTCTGGTTCACTATATACGGCACTCACGATGGGTAGCTTTTTGGTAAGGCCATTGACCAAGTTTCACTCAAACATTTTGCCAACCCAACATTTCTTTAATTGCCATACTCCAAAGATTCGGCGATTAAACCTAAAAATTGTGAAATTGATATGAAAATGCAAAGATTGCTGAACCTGCAAAGACTTCCTTCTGTATAGCAGTATGCTCCCGTACACGACCCCAAGCAGCACGTAGTTGAGCAGCGACTGTGACGTTGGCACATTGATACCTGCAAGTGTAAACAAGTAGCACCACCGTTACATTGAGAATTGTGTTAATTAATTTCTCTGGGCGATAACACGGCAAGAAAGCTTGCGAACGGCACGCAAGATCAGCCTGTACATTGACTGATTGACAGCAGAAGAGAGCAGTTCCAACAAGCAAGTGATTAAGGAAAACTACAACCACCAAAATAGCAGAAAAAGGGAGAAGAAACATTGCGTGATCGAATAAAAATTTAAAGAAATGGCCAAGGAAATGACTGCTCAATCTCCACAAAAATCCACCAAAAAAAAACAGAGAGAGAAGAAATTGAACTGCAGTGAAGTAGTCTGAAAAGGATCAGAAGAAGAACACACGCCTCTAGAAAAAGAAAGAAGCAGAGAATCGGAAAAGAAAAGGAAAACAATAGAGCAGATAGAAGAAGATGAATCGCGGAAAGAATCAGAGCAAAGAAAGAAACAGCGATTGGGGGGCAAGGCAACGGGGCGGACCTCGGCGGGAGAGCTCGGAGGAGGCGAAGCCGGTGGCGGTGACGAGGAGGGAGACGAGTTGGCCCAGCCCCAGCCCGACCAGGGTCTTCCGGGACCGCCACCACCCGCCGCCAACCGACCGCGCCATTGCTCCGCCGCCGCCGCCGCCGCCGCCGCGAGCAGAGCAGGCGAGGAAGAGGAGGGAGAGTGGGGGCGTGGACTCGTCTGGTTCGGTTACAATTTGTAGCCAGCGGTGAATTGCAGTAACATCCCTATTGTTTTCCGATATTTTTCACTCTGATTCAGGGGTTGTTGTGTAACTTTGTTTTTTTTTTAAGTAAATTGCATCGGCGGTACACCAACTTATCAGGTGGGTGTAATCTAGTACATAAACTTGTAAAACGCTCGTTTTGGTGCACGAACTTGTTTGGTGCGTGCGAACAAGATTAAAATCGCATTGCAAGGTTAATCTTATTAATTCTGTTGTTGATTTAAACTCTATGTAAACATTAGTCTAAGAAGGATAAACATATAATAAGGCATAATGATTGCATAAAAAATAAAAATATGAGTAATGATGCAAGGGACAAACAAAGAAAGATAAAGTGGATTCTAAGTTTACAAATATAACATTTCTACTATGTACATGCAAGTCATCTACTAATTTGTAATTTATAATGTTGAACATAGAAAAATCGGACTTGTCGCGCCATTTTAGTCTTAGTTTGCACGTACCAAACAAATTCATGTATCAAAACGAGCATTTTATAAATTCATACACTAAATCGCACACACCTGATAAGTTTATGTACCGCTAATACAATTTACTCTCTTTTTTTCTAGTAAAGTTTTTGTTCCATACTGTGAAAGATGATGTTGTTTTGTCATGAGTCAAATTTCTCTAAGAATGCGTTTGTTTCTCCGGTTGGAGGAAGCTACTCCCTGTTTTTCGTTAGCACGATTTTTTAAATATTAAAAGTTTTCTATATAGAAGTTGTTTTAAAAATTAAATAAATCTATATTTCAAGTTTGTAATAGACAATACTCAATTAATACATACTAATGGATTATCTCGTTTTACATGCTATAAAAATTTTCAGCCAAAATGCTTTCTCTGAAATGCGGCCTAAGTGTGACCAACTTTATAAAAGAGTTGAATCAACACGTATAATATTAAATTAATTTCATTAAACTTCATCATAAATTATATCTTCATATTTTATTTATTGGTATTGTTGATGATAATTATTTTTTCTATGAACTTGATGAAAGTTAGAAAATTTTGACTTGCAACAAAACTAAAACATCTTATGATATGAGAGAGAAAGTACTCGCAAACCTTCATGAACTCCTTAAAAATATTAAAACATAAAGATATAACTAAGTACTCATAAAAATTTACTCAAAATAAAAGCGCACAACAAATAATTAACAAGAAATAAGTATTGAAATGGCCATTTGGATATACTCCATATCAAAGGTACATGAATACAAGGAGAGAAAAATATCCAAAATAATTTTTTGCATGATGCTGAACAATACTTTAAATTTCCTATAGATTAAGGTCCCCTTTAATCCCTTTGATTTGTAGAAAAAATATAGGAAATTTGGAAGATTTCAATCTTATACAACAAAATTTCTATGAAGACCTTTGAAACAAATGATTAAATCCTTTCATTTACTTTGGAATGGACATCCCGATAGAGATTTTGGAGAAAATTTATGAAAGGCTTCAACCTCTTGAAAAAATTTCTTTGATCCGATTCCTATGTTTTTAGTGTGTTATGCACTTATATTTCTATCAAAATCCTTTTTTTTTCTATCCTTCCTTTTTTTTTCAATGCTATCTTTCAAAGGAGCCCTAATAAGTCATGTATGAATTTTATACGATTCAAAGAAGCCCAATCCTTTATTTCATATGATTATTTATGAAAATTCCTATAGTATATATTTCTATATAAAACCTCTTCACAGTTCAAAAGGAGGTCTACCTCTTGATTTCACTAGGGCACATTATAATTTTATAGTTAGTTTCTTAAAACAAATAGTTTGATATCACAATATCTGAAGCAGAAAACTCAAGTGTTCCGACAAAGCCTAAATTGGCAATAATAGTGATGTACTTCACAAATTTCATGATTCATATACAAATCTGCTAATTTGTTTGTATGCCTGAGTTCATTTGGCGTTACCAACTCGCTGATACACTCTCCTATGGATTGTTGCTACCGTGTGTTGACGAAAAAAATCAAACACACCGGCATGGGAGATCTGCTTAGCTCCTGTGCAAGTCCAAATCTTGATGAGATGCGGGCATGCCAGTCAGTTTGATCCTGCAACTGACAAGATATGCAAACAACAGATAAAACGGCCGATTGGCTGATAAGCCGATGGAGTAGTTCCAGCCGATAACTGATAATAGCCGATGCCGATACCAGCCGATAGCGATAGGGTTTAAGCAATCGGCTGATATAAAGGCAATCGGCTGATGATGATGTAATGAAATAACAATATAATCCAGTAGAAACCAATCGGCTAGAAACAAGATATAATAAGCACTGATCTGAAGGTTAAAGCATACATCGGCTAGAGGTCCGATGTCATTAAATCCACAGGATTAGATAAACAATGAAACCTTTGTTGCGATCGGCTAAGTCCAACTTATATGTAATCTCTATAAGCCGATGCAACATCCAGATAACTTATCGGCTAGCACTCCGATAAAACATCAGCATGAACCTATCGGCTTAACAAGACTTATATTATCAACAACAATCTAGTAGGTCGAACCTAACCGATGCAGCACGAGATTGTATATGATAATCTAATACTCGATGAGCCGATAGATCTGTCTAATATGATGGATATAACAAATCTATTTATAACAGCATTGTGATTGTAGAGATATATCGGCTAAGATAGAAGATCGGACCTAACTGAGACAGTCCCAACTAAACCGATGCGTCTCTAAACACAATGCAACTAGAGATAGAATTGAAATATTAGGTAGGCAAATATATCAACCAAACCAGAGCGATCCAAGAGATCGAATCGATGCAGCCTTGAATAACACCAACGTAGCCGATAAATTCACCAGGGCCGGCGGAACGTAGGACTTACCCCTTCGCCAGAGATCGAAAGCCGATGCAGCCCAGCGTCAGGTGCCAAATTCCGCCGGTTGATAAAGTAAAAATCTCAGGAAAGAGGGTGGCGATGCGCCGAGAATAGTTACATTGATCGAGAGATTGATAAATTACATAGACCCTGGGTGTACATATTTATACACATGGGTTGATACAAGTCCTTGTCGGACAAGAAAGAAACTATCCTAAAGATAAAAGGAAAACATAAAGTCCTTATCGGACACTAAACATACTTTCCTAAAGATAAAAGGAAACTAACAAACTATTCCTAATTAATAGATAACTTGCCATGCCGCATCCTTCTTGAACTCGGTCTCTTCTAGATAAGCTTCCTTGAATAGATCAATTTCCTTAACCAAATCCTCCAAGAATCCGACTGCTGGCGACTTAATAACTCTCGTCGGCTGATTCCGAGATGCTAAAGCCGATACTGACTCTAAGCCGATGATGACTCTGGGCTTACCAAATTTCGTCGTTAACACCATGCCATTTTTCTTTTTGTTGTGCATATATACAACTAATTTCTATAGTGAACCTCACTAAGGCTGTGTTTGGCAGCTCCTCTTCCCAACCCATCTCCCTCGTTTTCTGCGCGCACGCTTTTCAAACTGCTAAACGCTGCGTTTTTTGTTAAAGATTTATATACTAAAGTTTCTTAAAAAAATCAAATTAATCCATATTTGGAAAAAAAATTAGCAAATATTTAATTAATCACCCGCTAATCGCTGCTCCATTTTTCGTGCGGGCACTTAGTGTTGGGAACCAGGGGTTCCGAACACACCCTAAATTCGTTTATGGTTTCTATGGTTTTGACTTTGTCAGGTAAAGTCATACACACACAGAAACTACATTAAGTCACATTGTTATAACTTATGTTGCAATGTAACCCCCATAGCCTGAGTTTCTGTTCCTTTGGTATGTGTAACTAAGTTCTAACTCATACCAATGTCGCTTCTCTTAATACATATTTCCTCCGTCCCTAAAAGAGTATTATTGACGGGCTATACCTGACAACGGTATTTTTTTTAAATATAGGGGACGTTAATACCAGGATATACGCGAGATAGCGGTAAAGTAGATGGGAGACAGTGATTTTTATACTTGTTCAGGCCCCTGAGGTGGGTAATATCCTTAATCCAAATTATATGAATGGCTCTTAAATGTATCTCACATCAATTACAATGGGGGAGAAAGCTAGCTAATCTAGCCTACCAACTAGTATTCGTCGAGAACTAATCCGATGACTTAAGAGTCAGTGACTAGCTATTGGCTTCATCCTAGCTTGTATTCGATGTGGTTTGTGGCTATGGATCATGATTCGATGCCCTCTTCCTGAGGGCTATATATTTATACGTGTAGGCAATTTCTTGTCCAAGTAGAAATCGAACAGTTCATGTAGGATACGAGCATATATGACATTGCCTTCCCTAGGCCGAAAGCACTTCCTCCTGCACTCCTGATGGTGGTTGTGGGTGGTTACCGACAAACAAACATCATAAGCAATCGTCATCAGGTGCTATTAAAGGAGGAGAGCTTCTTCACTTGCAACACACATTTCAAGGAGTAATTCTCTCATTTCATACGTTATATTCTCTCTATTAGTAGTGGAGTTTGGCTTATAAATAGTCTTCAGTCCTATGGTCTTCTCTGAGATTCCGGTACGTTTTTAGTACTTTACTTTTCTTGTAAGATAATAGTTGCAATAATTGAATTATCTTCTTTATTATATTGTGTTCATAGTTCATTAATTATGTGCTCTATGAATATATTATACTTCATTTATATGCTTCACACGACTAAGCTAGTCAATCTATGCTACAGTAATGGTTTAATGATCTTAATGGATTGCACTAGTTCTAACTTATCCATGCGAAGGGTGGGAGTCTCGGGGGAATTAGTGACATTATTTATTAATATAAGCATGGTGATTAGGTTAGGTAAATGTTGTTGGATGTGGGTATGCCTTATGAAAAGTGAGGTAGGTGGCAAGTAGTGACAGCTCTGTCCGTCTTTTGTATTCCTCCATGTCCGGGTATTACGTAAGAGTTCATACAATGACATAAC